TCTATCTTATCTCTAGTTAGACCTACAAAAACAATAAAAAGCACAAAACAATACAAAACAACAAAACCAACAACAAAAATAAAATCCTATAAATAGTTCCAGGTCTGTTGCCTTTAGTGTTTTCTGTTGGAGTCTGATGGGGTGCCATGTCCTGGCCCCAAAGTTTATTTTTGGTATTCCTCTTGGACTTTATTGCATTGCTCCCCTTGCTGTTCTGTTGAACACCCTTAGTGTTTCGCCCCTAACACTGTGGTGGGGTCAGATCGGGCACAATTCCTGCACTTTGTCTCCTGTGTTGTTCCCTGTAGTGCTGAGGGTCAGTGACGGACATCTTGTCTCATGGTGGGGCTTGCAGTATGGTCCTCTCTGTGCATTAGCTGCTCTGAGCAGAAATATCGTCCTTGGGGCTTGGTGGGCCAGGATGTGTTCCACTCTGTCTCTCCTTCCCTCTTAGTTTGCCGATCAGATGTGTTCTGATCAGATGTGCCCCTCTCAGTGCTGTCCTCTGTAGTGCATTCTTCTCGGGTTGGGGATGGGGATGGGGATGTCCATGTAGTTGGATTAGGGATGGCCTTGCAAACCTGTTGGTTTGCTGCTTCGTGCAGTAAGTTGCATTCATGTCTTGGCACACTGAGTTGAAGTCTGGTCTTTTCTTCTCCTGTGGAGATAAAAACTATACCCTCCACTTGGGTGGGCTAGTGCCCTGTTCCCCTGCTACCCATGTTTGTTTGTTTTTTTATTTCTTTCTTTTCCCTGCCTTTTTGGTTGGCTGCCATATGTATCCCTGATCCCTGCCCATCACTAACTTTAGTATTTTATACGAGAAAGGATTATTTAAATAATTGAGTGAAATTCCTCTGTAGCGATTATTGTCAAGTTTGTTTGCATGCATGTGGTTAAATAATGTATTCTTTACATCTTTGTGCATCTATCTTCTTCTTAAAAATCATGTTCTTTGATAAAATCTATGAACTCTATTTTTAAAAGAATATGATAGTTATATTTTGCCATCATATTGACATTGTATTTGTTTTGCTCATAGTGCATTTTAATGTTTATTTCTTGAACTAATTTCAATTCTATTCAATTAAATATATTTAATTTTTGGCATTTATTAAGTTTGCTATATTTAAGTTTGCCTGGGATGCATGATTGCAAAACTAAGGAATTCTAGCATCCAAATAAATGACCATATGGCTTCAAAAGTCTTTCTTTAAGGAAACTTGGCACTCTTAGTGAAACTACCATGATTGTGTGGAAAGAAAATTAATGTCCTAGATTCGATTCTTACCCGATTAGTTATGGCAGTTTTAGCAGAACTCTTAGCTCTTTCGAACCTCTGCCTGTACTACCTCAAAGCTGAAGCATTAGCTCAGTGAGACAATGTATATGTTACAGAGAAAAAATATGTATGTAAATCAGTTCACGTCCCTCACCTAAACAAAACCTTATAATACCTCCCACAGGGCTAGTGACACTGAGCATTTCTTTATATGTTTTGTTAGTTATTTGGATGTCATCTTTAATGAACTATCTGTTCGTGCCCTTTGCCCATTAAAAAAAAAGGGTTATTTATCTTTTTATTATTGAAGTACTGCAGGTTTTGCAAACACCATTTGTTGAAGAGATTATCTCTCGTTTTATGTTTTGTTTGTAGAAGATTTAAGTGTCTTTAGGTGGATGAATTTATGGGTTTTTAAATCTGTTCCATTGGTCTATGTGTCTATCATTGTATGAGAACAAAACTTTTTAAGCAACTGCTATGGTTTTGAGGTTGGGAAGTGAGAAGCTTCTTAATTTGCACTTCTTTTTTTCTTATTTAAGTAGTAGTTTATTTTATGAATATGCCATTTTTTTAATTCTTCTGCCAGTTGATGAACATTTGGAACATTTCCAGCATTTTATCATTTCAAATAATGATGATGTGAACGTCTTGGTATAGGCCTTTTTCATTTCTCTTGGGGAAATACCTCATTTTGGCATAGCTGGATCATATAGTAGGTGGATGTTTAAAATGTTCAGAAATTGCTAATATTATTTCTAAATTAGCTTTACCACTGTATATTCCCTAAACCATTTGTGTATGAATGTTTCATTTGCTCTTTATCCATGACAATATTTGGGATGGCCAACCTTCTTAATTTTAAAGGTTCTAACAGGTATAGAGTAAAAAATAATATATTGTTTTTATTTGCATTTCTCTAATGATGTTGAGCATATTTTTGTATGCTCTTGTGCTATTTTATATACTCTTTAAAAAAAATAATTTTATTGGGAGCTGTTTCAGCTCTTATCACAATCCATGATACATACATGCGTTTTGTCAAGGATATTTGTACATATGTTGCCATCATCATTTTCAAAACATTTTCTTTCTACTTACCCCTTGGTATCAGCTCCACTTTTTGCCCTTCTTTTTTTCCTTCCTTCCCCCTCCCACCCGCCCTCATGACCCCTTGATAAATTGTAAATTTTTATTTTCTTGTTTTGCACCATCTGTTGTTACCCTTTACCCATGTTTTTGTTTGTACCCCGGGGGCAGGGCCTGCTAAATGTCAATCATTGTGATCGGGTCCCCCTTTCTCCTACCTCTTCCCTTACACTCATGGTATTGCTACTTCCATTATTGCTCCTGAAGGGTTTATCTGTCCTGGATTCCATGTGTTGAGAGCTCCTGTCTGTGCTAGTGTACATACTCTGGTCTAGCCAGGTTTGTAAGGTAGATCTGGGGTCATTATAATTAGGGGGTGTCGCAGGGAGAGAAGCAAGCATTAAAGAACTAAAGGAACGTTGTGTGTTTTGTCAGTGATTTACTGCACCCTGGCTGTTATCTCTTCCTTGTAACCCTTTTGTGAGGGGATGTCCAATTGTCTACAGATGGGTGTGGGTCTCCACTCCGAACCCCCTTGTTCGCATGGATAGGACTGTTTGTTTTGAGTCTTCTGATGCTTGATACCTGATCCCATTGACACCTCATGATCATACTGGCTGGTGTGTTCCTTCCATGGGGGCTTTGTTGCTTCCCTGCTAGATGGCTGCTTGTTTAACTGCAAGCCGTTAAGACCCCAGATGCTTTATCTTCTAATGGCCAAGTACCATCACCTTTCTTCAGCACATTTGCTTATGCACTTGTCCACATTGTGTTGGGAAGGTGAGCACCACAGGATGCCAGGTTTTAGAACAGGGAGGATTTGAGTAGAGGCCCAATGTCCATCTGCTAAAATATAAATATTGTATATTTATATGTATATAAAATATAAATATTATATATTATATATAC